GCCTGGCAGAGTCTAGGGAGTGGCTGTCTTAAATCTCTTCTTTGTCTCCTGCTCAACTCTGGACTATGTTAACCTCTTGTCTCTGTCAAGGCTGCTTCACTCAGTAACCAAGAAAGAAACCACTCAACTCCATTTTGCAGAATTAAGAGTACTTTTACTGGTCATAAGTAGATAGTAGCTAAGCAAAGCGAGGTCTGAGGCAAAAGCGCACATAATCATAGATATCAATATGTGACCCAACCCCCTCCCCCTGGTAACCTTAGTCCATAGTCCAATCAGTACACCCCACAGGTGTCATGTGGGAGACATCTTCAAAAAACATCATCAGGGTGGTATGCTGGACAGTTGGTCTGGGTGGCAAATCCTTTATCTGCAGCATGCACAGTAGATGGTGAGAACACCTCCCTTTATTCAGTCTCTCCAGTGCTGACACTTCCCCACCCACAAAAATGCCCCCCTTCCCATTTCAATGGCAGCGGAAAGCAAGCAGCAAAACAGAGGCTGACACCTCCAAGAAATATAGATTCAATTTTTAAACTTTATTCAGATGAAGAGAATGGAAAATCATTCCTGTACTATCACCAAGAAATTCCATTGATGTGTCCATGAAGGTACAGGGGTGAGGTTGACTTTAAGGAGATTTCATCTGTGCCTTAAGCTCAATAGAATAGTCATATGAAGTGCATAATACTAAAAAGGGAGAAACTAGTGTTTGCAAGATTAACAAAGAAAAGGCAAAAAAGTATTGAGTAATTGCTGAAATGTTATGTCTTTACAATCATCCACCCACTTAAATCTTTGTATTGTCCTCCTCACAAACAAATCCTACCTTTTCCAAAGAAGTTATGATGGATATATGCCATAGGATATTAAGGTAGCAGAAACTGCTGCCGCCCACAAAAGGCTGGTTCCCTGAATGAGGGAATCAAACAACAGATTGAATCCCTATGTATAGATGGTTACTGAATTTTCTCTTCCAAAATTCTAGAATCTGCTTCTAATTATTTTGGAATTGGGACACACATCTGTTCATTACTATTTTCCCACCTTTTTGTTGCTTCTGCTGAAGATGATCAGAAGTTTACACACCTGTTCCTGAAGGATGTGAAATATTGTTTTGAAAAAATCCAAGCCAAAATACTAACCCAATAAAATAAGTTGCTTTTTTAAAAAAAAAAACAAGCTTTCTTCATTTCCTCTCCCAAGATATATTTTTTCTTTCTTATGCAAACAGGTAATTGAAAACATTTGTTTAACCAAGAAAAATGGAGTAATTTCTCTCAAGCAATATGAATGACAACAATAATAGGATATTTAAAGCAAAAGCCCTTACAATGTTAAACACTATGGATATAGTGATATGCTATTTGTCTGTTGGCTTATAGGGCTGAGCAGTGGCTCAGCAGTGAAGATGCTGAGCTAGTCAGGTGGAAAACGAACAATCTGGATTTGAGATTTGAGTGCCACATGACAGGCTGATCTTCCGTTATTTGTCCCAGTTCCTGCCAACCTAGCATGCAAGATGAAAATATCAGACAACACAGACTCCCTTGGCTGAAAATTGGAAATGAATTGGTCACCACTGTACAGGGGAAACCTTTATAAGCATTTAGTAACTGAGCTAAAATATTTTAAGAGTTTGGAAAGGCTACCCATAATATATATGGCAGAAAATGGTAGAAAGAACATTTTTATTCTAATTCATGCATCTTTATGTAAATCAGGGAAGATGATGGAAAAAGTAAAGTAGATGGAGATGGAGATATAGATAAGCTCTGCTAAGAAATATCTAAGCTTGGTTCCTAGCTGTTAGACTATTAATATTATCAGCTTAAATTGTATCAGACTTTCAATAGATCTAATCAGTAAAAATAGACTGCGAAAACACAGTTCATTTCAACATTTGCTCTGGATCTCTGTGAATACTCTGATACATTCCACAAGCTCCTACAACAGTCCAACCTGACTTGTTCTCTGATTCTAAAATGTGTTTCAACTGCATCCCTGATTCAAAATAGCAATAGCAGTTAGACTTATATACGCTTCATAGGGCTTTCAGCCCTCTCTAAGCAGGTTATAGAGTCAGCATATCGCCCCCACAGTCTGGGTCCTCATTTCACCTAACTCGGAAGGATGGAAGGCTGAGTTAACCTTGAGCCGGTGAGATTACAATCAGCTGTAGTGGCCTTCAGTACTGCACCCTAACCACTGCGCCACCTCGGCTCTTAAATCTGAGTCCAAAATTGTAGGACCCATAGAAGACTACCATGTCTTCGATCCGACCTAAGCATAGTACATAAAATTATCTACTACAATGTCCTACCTGTTAATGAATACTTCAGCTTCAACCAGAACAACACATGAGCTCACAATAGACACAAACTTATTGTAAACCACTGCAAACCTGATTGCAGAAAATACGACTTCAGTAACAGAGTTGTCAATGCTTGGAATACATTAGCTAACACTGCGGTTTCTTCCCCAAACCACCAAAACTTTAACTTTAGACTGTCTACTGTTGTATTGTATTGTATTGTATTTATTTGTCTTGTATGCCGCCCACTCCCGAAGGACTCCGGGCAGCTCACAATAGACAAGGGAAAGGGGATAAATAGACAAGACAAAGACAACACTTTAAAAACACAACATTCACAATTTCCGTGGGGCTGGATGTTTCACAAGCCCCCCCGGCCTGCTGGAGCAGCCAGGACTTGGTGGCTTTGCGGAAGGCCGGGAGGGTAGTAAGGGTCCGGATCTCCACGGGGCAGTCATTACCGAGGGCTGGAGCTGCAACAGAGAAGGCTCTCCCCCGGGGGGGTCACCAGCCG